AAGAGTTCTCTCTCAGTGGTCGAATAATTTTGTTCAGCTTTATTTAAAGTTCTGCTTGCGTAAGCGATTGGTAAGTCTTGTCTAATCGGTCCTTGTGATAATATTCCTCCTATGGCATGGTTACTTGCATCCGTAGTAAGGTTAAATGATTGATTAAAATCTGGATACATTAAAATTGGCGATTCACAAGTTTTTTCTTAAGAGTTTCAAAAGAATTTTGTTGAAGGCTTGTCCAATTAAATGGAACATCCTTTTTCAAGAGTTTTGTTAAAGTTTGTCTTAGGGTACTAAAATCTGGTATGAATCTTCTGTAATATCCTGCCAAACCTAAGAAGCTTTTTATATTTTTGATATTTTTAGGAATAGGATAATCTTTAACAGTTGAAACTTTGCCTGGATCTGGTTTTACACCATTTTCCGTGATTAAATGACCTAAGTACATTACTTCTTTTTTCAAAAATTCGCATTTATTAGGCTGTAATTTTAAATTATTATTGGAAAATCTTTCAAACACTTCTTTTAATTTTTTGTTGTGGTTTTCTAAATTATCAGCATGTATAACAACATCATCTAAATAAACAAAATAACGATTACCTTGTAAGCCAGTTAATACGCTATTCATAAGGCGTTGAAAAGTTGCGGGAGCATTTTTTAAATCAAACGGCATTCTATTATATTCAAAATGACCTTGTGGCACTGTAAATGCTGTTTTTGATGAATCTTTAGGATGCATTTTAATTAGATGAAATCCTGATGCTAAATCAAGTGTTGTGAAATATTTAGAATGACCAAGTTGGTCCAGTATTTCAGTTATTTGAGGCAAAGGATATGAGTCCCCGATACTGACCTCGTTTAATTTCCTATAATCCACAACTACTCTCCATTTCTTTTGTCCTGAAGCATCTAATTTTTTGTGACCACCCAGATAGGTGAGTTCCAAGGACTGTTAGATGGTTTGATAACACCTTCTTTAAGCATTTTGTTAACTTGTTCATTAACTTCTCCCTTTAAGGCTTCTGGATATCGATAACTTTTGACATTAATAGGTACTTCCGTTTTTGTATGTATCTCATGTATAATATCGGTAGAACTTAATTTATCTCCATCTAAATGAAATATGTGATTATATTTGTTTACACAATTCTAATAATGAGTTTTTTTCTTCTTTATTTAAATGCTCAGTACGAAGAGAATTTTCTATTTTTTCAAGACGATCGCTATTTTAATTTTTATTAACATATTTTGTATTTTTATCATCTAATATTAATATATTTTCATTTGAGGTAACAAAGTCATTTTCTTCTATATTTAATCTAGGAATAGGGAACATCACGTCATTATCAGTTGAGTAAAGTACAGTCGTAATGGCTTTAACATTATTTATTGTGATAAGACTTGGACATAAATATACTCCTGTAATTATCTCTTTCCGTGGAACAATCCCATGTTTAATTTCCTTATAGTTTGTTATCTTTATAGGAATAACATATTCAGTTCTTGCTTTTACTGTTAAATTTAATTCAATATCTTTATCGTCTTTTTGTCGGTCATCTAATAATTTGACCAGAAAAAATTTCGTTATTCGCTAATTTTAAAGTTTCGGTGCTATAATCTATTACTCCTTTGTATTTATTTAACATATCACCTCCGATTATGGCATAAGTACTAATGGGGAAATTATCATTTACAATGTGGAGCATTAATTTTATATATCCTATGAACTCCAATTCAACATACCCTAATGTCCTAGTAGGAATGTCTACTTTATCTATCCCTTTTAAATCAGCTAAAATATCATAATGAACTTCAGCGTCCTTTGGTACATACATTTCTTTAATGAGGCTAATCGTTGCACCCGTATCTACTTAAAAGTTTAGTTTCTTTTCATTACTCATTAGTGTTAATGGAGCGAAATAATAACTATTTATTGAGGTAATGAGCCCTTCTATCAAATTATTGCCCTTTGGTTGGCTCGCACCATTGGCATTTATTAGTTTTTTTTATTCGAACTAGTGCTAGCAATAGCATTATTATTTGAATGGCGATTATAGTTATAATAATTATTATTATTAGGTTTTGAATCATTGGGTGAATTTTTATTTTTTAAATGGAAACATTCTTCTTTAATGTGACCTTTTTCTTGCAATAATTGCAGAATTTATAAGTTTGTTTAGATAAAGAACGAACTCTTCAATTAATAACCGTATGCCCTGGTCTGTTGCATTTGTAGCAATGTTTTGTATTGGAAATGTTTAAATTTTGAAACTTAGATATTTCATTTTTACTTTTAAGTTGTTGTTCTTCAATAACTGCTAGTAAAATAGCATCTTCAAGAGTTTTTAGTTGTAGTGCTTTTAGGATTAAATTGAGTTCTTTGTTTAGACCTGTGATAAAAACACTTAAAGCTTGAGATTTTAATAATTCTACGCATGCTTTATGAGCTTCAGAAGTTTGATTAGTTGTGTCAAGTGAATTTATTAATTTAATATAACAATTTTCTACTTTGTTTGCGTAAGCTAAAACGTCTTCGTTATGACCCTGTTTGCAACTTCTTAATTCCAATTGCCATTGACCTATTGTTCGTTTTTCTGTATACGTATCTAATAAATAATTATTTAGTTCATCCCAATTTATTAGTATAGTTATTTTTATAATAAAAAATTGTAATAACATTCTTTTTAGATTCGGATTAATTAAATTATTAACTGTGTCACAGTTATCCAAAAATTCATGAATGCGCGTTTTACTGTCATCAAATTTGGTTAGCATTCTTTCTGCCATTTCTAACGATATATATGTATTTCCTGATGTGGACACGTTATTTGTAGCCATTGTTACAATTTTATTAAAATTATATTAATTTAATCTTACTTTACTACACGCTATTATTATCACTTTTCACTTTCACTTATTATTCACGTGTACGATGCAGCTAAACCGAACAGAATTAATCTTTATAACGGTGCTGTACTCACAGTAAGAAGAGGTTGTTGAGTCCCGTAGACATTGTAAGTTCCGAAGTTCTTGGATGAAGTAAACGGTTAGCTAATATACGAGTAAGTTACCAACTCCGTCGAATATACTTTCTGCTTCCTTGTGCTTCGTTTGTGATGCTCTTTGGTGACTTTGATGTGTCGAAAATAGGATTTTATTAAATTTCCAACTAACTCTCGTACACTGTTCACACTATGCACTGTTCACTTTCGTCTCGCGATAGTTTACTAGTCTCAATATCTCTCACTTCTTACACCAGTTTGTGACGGCCCGAGCGGTGGCTTTAATGGTAGGTGCTTGAGGATACGTCGAATTGAGACAACACTTTGAGACTATAAACTTTACTTAATTGAACTTAACGATGACAACATTAACTTACGGTGGCTGATTAGGAGCTGACTGTATCAAGGGTAGAGGGATTTTTATATTAGTGTTAATTAGTGAATGCTCACCACGACCCTTATATACAGTGTACATAATATTATCTATTGTTAAATGAGTCAAACATTTACTCAGTAAGTTTAACAGTACAAATAGGATGCACATCATTATAATACTGTCTATTGTCTTAATGAATGTTAACGATCTTGGGAATAACAAATATTCCATTAGGATGAATACAAATTGATAATGAAAGTTAACGTTCATGACACTGGTAAACAATTCATTTCAATATACGAGTAACAACCTTAGATTAAAATAAAAAGGGTAGATACGGCACTAGCCTCACAAAAGTGATCCGCATAAATTGTGGTCCTTCAACATACCCTAATGTCTTTAGTCACAACTTGACATGCAAGCGACGTATATGTGAACGCCAAAAAGAAATATTGCTAATATTTTGTGTTTATATGATAAAACAAATAAGTGAATTTTTAAAAAGTGCTCAAATTGCTCAAGAACTTAAAATAAACCCACGGCATCACTACTTTACATTCGTAAGTACTATAAAATATATTTTTTCTTAAAAAATGCTGTTTGTTTTGAATCTTATTCGGTAGTGTCGTCGAATACTGGTCGCGTGATTGGTCGGTAGTGCAGTGACGCGGATCTCGCCGTCTCGTTCGCGCTGCCGTTGAAACTTAACGTGCTGCTTCGTTCGGGTCGCTAAGGCTGCGTTTCCACCAAAGATGTGCGAGGATGCATAGCGAGGGATGAGTTTGTAAAGAACCAATAGAATCGCTTCATTTACCTCGCCTCGGTCAGCACAGCTCTGGTGGAAACGACTCAGCGGAGCTAGATTTTTGCGCATACAAAACAAGCGAGGGATGGGTGCGAGGGATGTGTACGAGGGATGTGTTGCGAGGAATGTGTGTTGGAAGGATGTGTTGCGAGGTTTGTGCATACTGTACCACACATTAATGCGCATTTTTACAGCTCCGCTACACATCCTCGTAGGCACATTTTCATCGCACAGCTTTGGTGGAAATCCCCACACATTTTCACAGCACAGCTAGACATCCTCGCACGACACATTTCCAGCGCACATCTCTCGTGGAAACACAGCCTTAATGCCGTGACGCGGATCTCGCTGTCCCGTTCGCGCTACCGTGGGATCAGTTTTTGTTTGATGCAAGTATGAGCGTACCGTATTTTTTACCGAAATACACAACATAATGGTGAATATCCACTTTTTATGGACTCTATAAACATTAGTAAATAAGAATGAGATCGTTTTCTAAAACTTGTCAAATGCCCTATTGCGGTCGCGCTAATTCCGGCACTTCACTTGGCTATTCGTCTTTGCTATTTGTAAACTTGACAATAGTCTCCCCTTTTTACTCTCAAGGTGTGATCAGAACAAACTGCTATCAAAATGTCAAATAGCTTTTACAAATACCTTTGTGAAGAATGCCCTAGGCGTGTTTTAGGTTTTCACAAAACCAACTGTAGTGTAGTACTTTATTTTGGTATATTTACTTTTTTTGCGAGTGCAACACGATCATCTATCTCTGGTCTCTGGGTTTCTGGGGTCAAAGTTTGTTTCAACAAACAAGTTTGGTTTTCAATTTGTTATTCAAATATGAACTTTAACGAACAGGCATAGAGTTCTCGATTAGCTTAGTCATGATATCAAAAGATAATACAATGTAAATACAAATCTTTTTACATAAAGATATGTATCGTGAGCGAACTAACTGCTGAATATTCTTTATATTTTGGTCTCCTTTATCGACTAGTTTTTGAAGATATTATCATGGTTTTACTTAGAGGAAGCTGTCTGATTAGCATCAAAATGAGACCAGTAGCGAGTAAGGTGGGTATATGTACCAGTTTTCCTTTTCAATTTTTGTCATTCAACCGCATACCGACTGTCTGTGAAGATAGCGGAACTTGTGACGTTTATCAAGTTCCGAAGAAGAAGAAGTTTTGAATTAAATATAAGTTGGTACAGCAATATTTTTTGTTATTTAATCATTAAAATTGATCAGCAGTTTATTAAAACGATGGCGATGGCATATTCCACAAAAGTTTCCCTTAATGAAGTGGTCATCGCTTCTGCTGTAAGAACTCCCATCGGATCCTTTAGAGGCACCTTGGCAAGTATGTCTGCATCAGAACTTGGAGCAGTAGCTGTAAAAGGAGCCATTGAAAGAGCAGGAATTCCTATGGAAGAAGTTAAAGAGGTTAGTTTGTTGATTGTCCACTTTCACTATAAATATTCATGTACTGTTATTTATTTGGCACAGTTAAACTGGACTTCACAGAAATGACAGAGCATGAGATTATTTTGATTTTTTTTTTTAATGTTGAGGCCTAGAACAAAACATTAACTATGATAATTTAGATAGTGTTTTGTTTCTAGTTGTATGAAGTATTCTATAATGAGTTTATAAGTTTGATTGATTACATTAGATAAAATTTTTTGATAAGTAGTATGGTTCCTAAAATTAAATATGATATGCTAAAAATCTAAGTTAGGAAACTCAGAAAATATTCAGTATTTATTTAGTTTAGTTGCAATAGTTAAGTAATAATTATCATCTGTTGTAGGTATATATTGGAAATGTTTGTTCTGCAAGTATGGGACAAGCTCCAGCTAGACAAGCAGTAATATTTGCTGGGCTCCCAAAAAGCACAATTTGCACAACTGTGAATAAGGTCTGTGCTTCTGGAATGAAATCCATTATGTTAGCTGCCCAAGGTCTTCAAACTGGAGACCAAGATGTTATTCTAGCCGGTGGAATGGAATCTATGTCTAATGTACCTTTTTATTTAAAACGAGGTGAAACTACTTATGGGGGCATGCAACTTGTTGATGGTATTGTATTTGATGGACTTACTGATGTATATAACAAATTTCACATGGGGAACTGTGCTGAAAATACTGCAAAGAAATTAGAAATATCACGAAAACAGCAAGATGAATATGCCATTAATAGTTATAAGAGAAGTGCTGCTGCTTATGAAGCCAAAGTATTTGTTGATGAATTGGTACCAGTTTCAGTGCCACAGAAAAGAGGTGCACCACCTTTAATATTTGCTGAAGATGAAGAATACAAAAGGGTTAATTTTGACAAATTTAATAAATTGGCAACTGTATTCCAAAAAGATAATGGAACTGTGACAGCTGGTAATGCTTCTACTTTAAATGATGGTGCCGCTGCACTGATTCTAATGACTGCTGAGGCTGCTCAGAGACTAAATGTGAAACCTATTGCTCGTGTAGTTGGTTTTGCTGATGGGGAATGTGATCCAATCGACTTCCCAATTGCACCTGCAGTCGCCATACCTAAATTATTACAAAAGACTGGAGTGAAGAAAGATGATGTTGCTTTATGGGAGATCAATGAGGCTTTTAGTGTAGTGGCAGTAGCCAATCAAAAGATCTTAGAATTAGACCCATCTAAAGTAAATGTTCATGGGGGAGCTGTAAGTCTTGGTCATCCCATTGGTATGTCCGGTGCCAGGCTGGTAGTGCATTTATGTCACGCATTGAAAAAGGGAGAAAAGGGTGTTGCATCTATTTGTAATGGTGGAGGTGGTGCATCATCAATTATGATTGAAAAAATGTAAGTCATCAACAAAAAAAATAACATATAATACCTATTGTTGTATTATCTGTGCCTTCTAAAATAATTTGCGTATCTAATTATAATTAATATAATTATAAGCATAAAAATACAGTTTGTACAGTTTAAACCATATTAAATTTATAATTTTATTGTTAAACATTTTTAGTTTTATATACATGTTATTTATAAAAATATATAGTATCCCTATTATGGAGTCTTGACATGAATAAATTGTAAATACATATAATGTAGATTGAGAGGTATTTTTATTTCTTTACAGAGAACAAACTGTAAATGGACCACCTGTCTTGACCTTCTACACAAAACACCCATGCCCATTATGTGATATTGTTTTGGAAGAATTAGAACCCTATAAAAACAGAATTATTATAAAAAAAGTTGATATTACAGAAACGGAAAACATTAGATGGCTTAAACTTTATCGATATGATATACCAGTATTATTCCTTAATGGAAGATTCTTAAGTAAGCATAAATTGGATACACAGCTTCTTAAGAGAAGGTTGACAGATATTGAAAATGAATAAATATAAAAAATATTAAAACCCTTACTAAAGAGCAAAGCTTTGGACATGAATATAATAATTAAGTTGTTTGTGTAACTTAGGTATAAGAGAGTTGGATTCTATAATCCATAAAATTTAAATAATCGACAATGAAGACAATTTTGTTTTTATTTTTAATAATTCCAGTGTTTCATGGCCTTGCCCTGAAAGTATCCTACTAGTAACTAAAACCAATAAGGAGTTATCACGCGGTACGAGTTGCAGTTGCATAAACTATATAGTGATTTTTGAGCTGCGTGTAGTGTGTGTTGTTCGCGGCTACATGTATTTTAAAATTGGCGCCCAGAGGCTCGAGCACGAAATTTGACAGCTCGGAGGCCCAAGCACTAATTTTGTCAGCTCCGTAATTCTATCGATAACGTCAAATTTCATATGGAAAAGCCTCAGACCAAATAAAAAGTAAAGCCGGAGGTCTGCGAACAACAAAGTGAAGCCGGTTCTATACGTGTTTTTTTTTTTTTGTTTCCTCCCAGGCGGGGGAGAGGGTGAGAAATCCTCATGGATACCCTACAGCCGGCTGTAGGGTTATTTCAGACTCTTACTGACTAAAAAACACCCTTTAATCATGCTTATGGCCAGAAGGGCCTTCCAAGCTTCATCTGAAGCGATCATCCCCCGAGAGGGGGGATGATGCGGCGAGAGGGGGATGATGCGGGTTATACGTATGTAGTGCACAGATCACTATAGTACTACTACAGTAGCAAGTAGTGCATTAGCCAGTGTTACCATAGCCATTTATAATACCCCAATATTCGAAAAATGTAATATCGTTATTTCATAACATTACGTTATTAATAACGTTATAAAATATTAGAAAAAAATATAGGCTTATTCTCTAAACTAGTCCATATAAGTTTTACACTAGCGCTAGAGGCAAACTCTCGTGAACCAAAGGTCATGCGCCGTTCTCACCCACAAGTGCCGGACTCCTTATGGACCGCCCGCCCGCTGGGTGGGAACGATTGCATTGTTTTGGCGATTTCTCTATTATTTTGTAAGAATACCCTTCACAAACGTAACGGATTCTCCATAAAATTTTCAATAAAACAGGTTTTTTGTACATTCTATTATAACTTACCAAATAAAATTATAAACTACCATACATTTATATTACACTATATCTTTTACCATCTCAGAGCCCAAGATTGGACACGCTAACACGCAACAGAAAAAAAGGGCGTGTTTCAAGAGGTGATAAAAACGAATGCATTTAATAAAGTAACGTTACGTTATATTTCACGCTACCCAACAAAAGGGTTAAACTGTAACGTATAATCATGGCAGCATTTCGTTCAGGTTTTGTTTACAAAGCGACAACCTCAAATTTGATTTTGATTAATTGAAAATATCAGTTTATAACTTTACTTACGTATGAAATGTGATTCCATCATGTTTTTTATTTTTGACGTGACAACGTCTTAAATTAGGTTGCGGCTGGGAGTCACTTATGAAAAAGTGTAACGCTCGGTAACGTTACGATGAGTTTAAGTTTACATGTACAATGTTTTAGTAAACAAAATATATTTCTATAGTTAAAATTTGTGCAATTCTTATTTTCATTCAATTCCTTGTTCCTATTGTGCAATTTAATTATATTCATATCAATAAATATTCTACCGAGAAAAAGACGTTGTCACGTAAAATCTTCGCCCGTAAAACCGACTTTACAGGCAACCATTTTTTGAAAGATTGGTTTCTTCACGTTTTCACTACACAATTCGGCATTTTCTCTAATAAATATTGTTATTTATTATTACGTCACACTCCGCGCGCCGGGATAGCGCGACTGGGAAGCCAAGGCGTAGTTTCGTTGCATGTGTGTGCGTGTAACTGGGTATGTACACGGCGAGGCGTACTTTTATCGGCTTCACTTTTTTGTTCGGCAGACTCCGTCTTTACTTTTTATTTGGTCTGAGGGAAAAGCTAGTTTTTTTTATGTACGTCCGATATTGGCTTTGCTTAGTTTTCATAAAATTTGACAATGCGATTCTATTATGGAGCTGTCAAAATTTGTGCTTGGGCCTCCGTAATCGTATTGCATCGACAAAGTTTCTATGAAAACTATGCATCGATAGAGACCGGACGGTAGAGACCGGACGGAAGAACAAACACTGGCTCCTTCGTAAAATTTGACAATACGATTACCTACGAAGCTTTCAAAACTCGAGCTTGGGCTCAGGTCCTTGATTCCCTTGTAATAGTAAGTAAATCTCAAATCAAAATATAATCAGTAGCGAATGGCTTTATATTCTCACCACTCCGCTGCCCCTCTTGGCTTGTCTTGAGTAATCCAATAATAATATGCAATACCGCAGTATGTAACTATATTAATGCGGTATCGGACAATTTGGACATTTTTAACAATGACATATTGCGAATTCGCGATATCTAATAAACGTTAATTTAATTAACGCATTGGAAGCAAATTTTATAGCAGGGGAGCCCAAGCGGGGATGCGTTTAGGACAGTCCGTCAGATTAGTAAAAAAAAATCGATCCTCATAAAAACTCGAGCGCGTCAGATTATGAAGAAGAAGATAATTTGAGCGTGGCATAAGGAAATGCAGTTGTAAAAAAACGTCAACTCGAAATACTCGAGCGCAATTAAATTTTATTTTGAAGGGAATTCTATCAGGATTACGAAAAACATATAATCTGACGATTTTCATGGGGCGATGTAGCTAAACAATCGATAAAACAGGAGCGTACAGATGCTGAGAGCAGTGCCTCTCGTTCCTTCTCACTGATTCCCAATCTCTCACTCTCTCGCACAGTTCCCACGGTAGCGTCTGATGCTATCATGCCATTTCAGCTGATCACAATAACGTGCTCATTATCGGAGGTGGACGACGCTCTAGTTTGTTTGTTGTGTTTTCAAGTATTTATGTGAATTTTATGAAATGAGTTTCATATCCATTACACCGCGAAAACAAATCCAGTGATGATGAAGATTAGTTTTTTTTCTTTAATAATATTTTTTATCTATCCTTTATATTAACGATTGACTCTTCTATACTTGAGTGTATGTTCATTTTTTTTATTATTTCCAGTAATAAATAGAAGGAACTATGTGATTACGTATACCCCTTTACATAATTACCGTTATTCTCTTTCACCCCCCCCCCCTATCTAATCGTCAGATTAATATTTATCAGTTATCAGAAACACAAAGCGAGTATATTCTTTTAATATCTGACGCGTTCGAGTAATTCCAGGTGACATTTAACATTTTTGAAATTTTTTACATGCTGTTCCCCCATCTAAAATGGAAAACATCACGAACTTTTTTCGTTTTAGAACATAATCTTCACAATCCAATAGGTGCCCATGACGCTCTAGTAACTGCAACTTTAGCATCCCGGGCTCCCCTACTATTATTCTAGTACTTGCTATAAACAGATTCAATAGAAAATTTATACATCAGCTGTCATCGAGTTTCAGTTGTGGAGCAGTTTTCCTTTTGTATTTTTATTGTTTGGATTAAACTGTAATTAATTAAGACGAAACTGCGCAGAAAGGTATAAAAATGAGTAAAGTAAATCGGAGGGGCACGCGGGAAGTGATTTTTGAAGTTTTCCAGCGATGTTTCGAAGACTACCAAGCTGGACGAATTTTGTGGGATTTGGATGATGTTTATGGGCGAACAGCATCTATGACGGGTATGTAATTGTGTAACTATTTGTTTGTAATCTACCTGAAGTTACAAATTTACTCAATTTACGATTCTGAGACCAATAAATGCATTGTTTACATTGCAAGTTTTTAGGTTATATTGACATTGTAAATAGGCAATATTGTAGTACGACCATTTCTTTTGATACGTTATTATGGTTCAACTCGGTCAGGTTTTCTATCAATTTTGAATTAATTGCTTCATGTCAATAGGTTATTGTTTCTATTCCGTTACATATTTTTTTACTTTTTTTCAGGAAAATCAGAGAGTCGGATAGTCAACGACGGTTTTAAAATGATGGAAAATTTGAAACTCCTCGGAAAACAGGCAAGGCCGACCAAAGAAAGAAATGGTCACATAAAGAACCATGGCTAGATGCTTTTAGTGAAGATACCCATCACTAATTTTACTAACGGCTCTGGTCTCAATGGCACCTCAGCGGTAATTACCAACATTACACACTTTTACACTATAAAGTCCTATTTTATCTATAATAATTTTATTCTGATTCAATTAAATATGCTTGGCTAAACTTTTTAAAAGCATAGGTACCTACTATATACATATAAAAAAGAAACATAATACGACTGTATAGTGTGTCTTATTAATTTACCTATTTTACCTGAATGACCTGCTAGTATCAAAATCATTTTGGTCCGACTGTATAGGGTTGCATCATTTAATGTCACGACTTTATAAACAAACTGTACGGAGCTCCGTAGATCGTCCAATGTACCTTTTGGACAGGTTTCATCAACGATTTTGTTCGTGATGTTGAGCGTTTTCCATTTAGAAAAAAAAGTCGACACTGTGTTGCACTGTGTTGTGTTGTATTTACAATGGATTTCGAACTTGTTAGACATTTTTGTAAACTTATCTCACAAAACACGCAGGCAAACACAACAAAATCCCATGACAATCCGCGTTTTTGTATTCACTGTATCGCGTTTTTAGTTTTCTCATGGATAATAATAAAAGATTACTTGCTGAGTGATGGCAACGCTGGACCGGCCTGTCAATGTCAATTGTCAGTGCGTAGAGGAGTCAGTCAGTGTCAATGTCGAGTCCAGATTCAGAAAACTTAATTCACGGCAGAATGTTTAATTTCAATGTAATATCGGTGTAATTATGTGATTTACGGATTAACATTATCATTCCTCCTTAAATAGTAGTCTTGCTTAAAAATCAAGAATGGACAATCCTGCTATACAAACATTGGAGGCTGCCGCTCAAATGCTGATGGTAAGTCTGCATCACGAAGGCATATACCTTCAGGATCTGCATGCAGTGTGATTGCTCTTATAATGTATGTATGTACCACATGATAACTTGTGTTTTATTTTTCTTATTTTTTTTATTGAATAAAAATATATTCGAGGATTTTCCATAGGCGCCACCTAATATGGTGTCTTCAGAGCAACGCCATCAAGCTGAGAGTGTCTTTCTGGAATTCCGAAGCACAAAAAATCCGTATCAACTGTGTCGAGAAATCTTAGAAAAATCATCATCAGACTATGTGTTATTTGAAGCAGCTGGCTTATTAAAGTCTGCACTTATTAGAGAGTGGTCATTCTTGGCGGAAAACGAGACTTCGTCATTAAGAGAGTACTTATTAAATTATCTTTTAAGAAAAGAAATACGACCATTCCTGAGGGAGAAACTATTGCAGGTAATTTATATTGTAATTAAAAGTAAAGTGAAAGTTTTCATTTAAGACTTGTAAATAATTTTAGGTATGTATACTTGTGAATATATTTAGCTTTAATTAATTATAAATGTACTTATATTTATTATCAAATTGTATAAAAGTAAAAAAATATTATAATAGATTTGTAATGCTTAGCTTTAATATTACAGACAATTGCTATAATGATCAAAAGGGGTGGTATTGATGATGGAGGTAGGGAAAGAAAGGCCTTATTGAGTGAATTAGAAAAGATGATTTTAAGCTCTCCTATAAATCAGCAAAAGTTGGCTTGCTCCTTGATATTAGCAATAATGCAGGAATATGCAATCACTGTAAAATCAGCTGATGTAGGTTTAATATGGGAAGTACATTTTCGTTTGAAAAAGTCCTTTGAAGGAGTGGATTTGAAAAGAATATTCAGATTTACGGTGAGTGTTTTGGAACAAATTGTGAGATCTGGACACAGGCCTGAAGGAGAACAAGCATTATTAACCAAACAACTTTTGACTATTGTGGAAACTGTACTTTGCTGGAGTCATGTTTCACCATTGTTGTCAAAGCGCTTGATTGGAGCTTTCGAGGCTATTAATGAGAGTGACTCTGCTCCACCATTACGCTTGAGCTTAAGTTGGAGGGATACTATAATGCAACCAGAGCTCTTAGCATTATTCTTTGAGATACATATGTATGTGAGATCAAATCCTGAACTGGCCAATCATTCTATGACCTGTCTGGTTCAATTGGCAAGTGTTAGTGGAGTTGCAGTTTCAGTGGGCAATTTAAAACAGCCGTATTTGGAAAACTATGTAAATAGTTTTTTAAACATGATGGCATATATTCAGCCTGTAGCAGGTGAAATGCTTGGCATATCTGATATATACAGAAGACTGATACAATTTTTCTCACCGCAATTGATAGCTGCTACACCACCATCATTCCTCCAAAATCTGACAATTTTAACTTGTCAAAGTATTAGAAGTGCTGTTGCAGAAGAATCAGTAAGTAAAATTTGCTATTAAGAAATTATTTTTTGTAAGTTCTAGGTTTTGCCAATCAATGATAATTCAGATTCTCCAAGCGTTATGTAAAATCAACATGACATTGATTGCTGGCTGATTGTTTTATTTTGTATTAAACATTTTTCATCTACATTTCGACTAGGTTTTCCAAATCTTATGTATTTAATATTCTTTAGCAAAGTGATGACACAGTCTGGAAGGAATCACTAAATAAGTTTCTACACACATGGTGTTCTATAGTACATGATTCAGATGGTTATTCAAATGAAACCTTAATGAATCCTTGTATAGAAGTATTCAATACATATCTTCAATGCAGACTGGGACCCCCTGATGGAACAAGGTAAGTGTTATAAAGAAGTTTATTATTTAGATACATATGAAATGGTAACATGATTTGATAAGTCTTACTATGCCTGGTATCATATTGGCGTAGAAAATTACTGCATCTACATCAGATTAAATGGTAACCAAAGACAATTGCTCAACTTAATCTAAGCGTACAGAGGAGCTTGATCGCGCAAGTTGTCAATGCAATCAATCTGCGATCATCAAAGTTAATCAACTTTTGCAAAGTCCAGTCATTGGATGAGTGACCAAAAATGTATTATGTTGAGCCACATATAAAGGGCATATTAATTGGTTAGTCCATACTGCATCTTTAGCACCCATCAATCTGCACCGGACCAACATGATGGGTTCATAGCCCAAGATTAATATTCCATACATAGGGAAGGCCTGTGCCCCAGCACAGGGGACCTTCATGGACTGAAATAAGAGTATATTATTATATATAAGACCATGAAAACTTTCATTCTCTATTTCAGTCCCATCAAGTTTTAATTTCACTACTAAAATTAACCCATTTTCCAACATTCTTTTTATCACCAATCAATAAGTGATTAGGTAAACTGATTGAATAAATTTATAAGAATAGTGTGCAGTACATAGAATCATAAGTTACAATTAGGAACTCTGTAATTATACCTAAACACTTTTTATTTTTCATAAATATACTTCAATGAAATGTTACCTTTTACAGAGGATCTTGGGCTGTTGAAGAAGACATCAAGGACGATATTGAAGAGGATGAACGCAAACAGCACAGTAATGTTCTTTTAACTATAGGTGCGATAGCAAGAAAGGCTCCTGCTCATTGCTGTCATATCTTGTTCACACTCCTCCAAAACAGAAGTAAAAGGTGAGAAACTCAGAATCCAAATAAAAAATGCTTCATAACTTTGTGATCATCCCAATGTATGTGATGTTGTCCAATTTATAAGTTACGTCAGTCAGTATGTCATAAAAGATAATTTTGTAGGCTTGAGAATCAACTACAATTAATGCATATGGGAAAACTGCCCATAAGCAGTGGTGGTGAACTAGTCAGCTTATTCGAGGATTTACACTGGATCCTGATGATTACTGGCCATTTCTTAGCAGTGGACTGCACTGAAGGTGAAACAGTCATGATACCACAGGAGATTATAAGCTATAGTATCCGCGAAAATGCCAATGTCGACGCATCTTTAAGATATCTTGTGGGCGAGAACCAGAATACTGAAAATGTGGACCCAATACTCAAGTAAGTCATACATATAATATTGTTATGATAGCAGGAAATTAAAGTACTGTAATTCTTTCATTGGTTATTCAATTTTAAATAACTCTTCACTACTGGTAATTTTAAAATAAACAATTTGCATTTGATTTTATTTGAAGTTGGCTAAGCTGAGATATAATACCATAATAGATTAAGAAAACAGTCTCAACCTGCTCAGCTATGTAGAGTATTAATAGTAAATACAATATGATTGTCTCTTTCCCCATATTGTTGTTTTTATGGAACATTTTCATATGAATGAGAGTATGATAAACCCATCTTTATTAATTCTATTCACCGTCACTGTTATCACATACATATTTTTAGTCAAACATCTTTTCATATTAATTTCTTTTCAAATGAAGTTGAAGGTCTTTGTCATTGTTGTTCTGGTTAAGTACTACTGAAAGCACATTACATAAGTCACATATTTATCCAACTATACAATTTGGTAATCAGATGTGCTGTGTGACTGTACATTATAATAATAATAGAGTACTCTTGACAACGACAATGAAATGTAGAGATATGTAAAAAAGTATTAAAAAACTCATATTAAACACGTCGTTAAAAGTAGTTTTATTTAAAGAATTGGAAGTAAAGTATGCAAAGCAATTAACCGCATTCTAATGAAGAACAAGATAAAGAAATAGCAACAGAAACTAGGCTGCATGAACTTGGTATTATAAAGTATTATTTTCCTTAGAAAGGGTGAATTTCGCAAAAAATAACCGGGAAATCATCCAAAAAACCGGTATTCAAATAAAAACTAAAATATTCCTACCAATACTGCATTTTATTTTCATATTATTAGTAGAAGAGATCACCGGCGTTTAATATATATTTTTCAATTATTGTAATTCAGGCTCATTGGAGAGATTCTCCGCATAAGTGCTTGGGAATGTGCGGCCTTAGAAGCCGGTCTCGCCACTGTTTTTAGTCCAGAACTATCTGCCACCATTTCATGGTTGTTGAAGATATGGGCTAACTCATACCTAATGCCGCAATCATCAGTGTATTCTGAAGTAAGTGAACACTGAATAAAGAAGAACAACCACTGTAGTTCTTTGTACATGAGCAAAATATATACCACTGTTAAGCTTATTGTTAATGTATACTGCCAGTTTTTATAATAGCTAGTTGGGTTAACTAGATATTTCGATTTGAATTTAATTAAAAATAAAAAAGAACGGACATGTGCAGTTCACATGCATCAAACATATAAAAATATGAACACGTAAAAGTCCTTTAAGACTAGGGCTGCCATCCGTCCGGGTTTCCCCGGATTTGTCCTAGTTTACGGGGCGTCCGGGGAGCGTCCGGGCGGGGTTTTATTTGTAGTCTGGGTTTAAAAATTTACGGCAATGCATGACTGACCCTTGGTGCTGCAAGTGTTCATGGGCAGCACTTATTATGAGGTAGACCGCTAGCTCTTTTGCCTAGATCAACATAAAAAAGTTGATTTGTGACATTTTTAACTGTTTTTTTATTGGTCTGTCCGGGTTCTGGGCTTCAAAATCCGGGGTTATCACTCGTCTTATCCTAGTTGCCACATTTTAGAGATGGCAGCCCTATTCAAGATTATGTGCGTCTAAAAGACAACACTTGTGTTAAAATTCAACTCTCTTGGTCAAAATTTAATATTTTATACTACTTAAATTGTTTCTCAAAATGAATAATAGCTTCTTGAATTAGTAAAAGAAAAAAATAAAAATGTGCGTTATGTTTAAAGACATTATTAAACTAATTACTTTAAATGAAACATTAATATACTATTTAATTTAAGTTATATTTTTCGCAAACAAAAATAAGCTTTATAACTTGACCAAGTTTCATAAATGTACTTACGATCGCACGCTCCATCTAAGGAATTTTAAGCAAACTATTTTAAAGGTTCTATAATTTACAGCACGCATGCTTATTAAAATTTGAGACTAGCATGTCTCAAATTGCAACAAAAATTGCAATTTGCCGATGCCGGCACTAAAACGAATTAAAAACAAATTATTTACATATTTTACAAATATTAGATAGAAGCTATGTAGCCACCAACGAGCAAGAAATAAACTGTAATAACACAAAACATATCAGATGATATCCATAAAATAAATATTGTACAACATCATATACATAATATTACTATTCAAAAGTAGTTAATTGAAGCTTAATAGTTAACTATTCAGATATTATAAATACTGGCAAATTTGAATATTGTATACTAAAATTGTTTCGTAAAATAAGTAATAGCTTAAATAAAAGACAAAAAGCAATTTAAAAGCAATAACCGAGCTCAGGATCGAACCACCGATCATTTGGTGTCGACCCCAAACACCGTTACCGTTCGGCTATCTGTCTCTTACAGTATGTGATAAAATTACGGATATCTATTTTGTACCAAATACTCCTGTTTCATCGAATCCCAAATCACAACAGTGCTAAAGAATTTTTCACTTCAAAAATATTTTAAGGGGTTTTTCTGATGTAATCTAAATAATAAACATAATTTTTGAAATAATTTGGAACAACTAAATATCTACAAAAAAAATTGCATTAAAAAAATATTGAATAATAACAAGCAAGCTACTATGTTACACATATACCTACAATCAACTTATGGATGTTTGACCTAATTAAGAGTGAAGCTGTTTATATTTTTAATCATTCATCAGAAATTATTACAATAATATACTGAGTGCCAATAAAATCTTAAATTGTGCACTTTGGGGTTGGTTTAATTAGTGTAAATGTTAGAGTTATTTATTATTAGCCGTCGCCCGCGACTTTGCCCGTGTAAACTTTTTTTTTAAAGTTATTTGAGAATCCCACAGGAACCTAAAAATAATCTGGGTTAAAAAGTATTCTCAATTCAAGTCATAAACTATATGCATAACAAATTTCATCCAAATCTGTTCATTAGTTTTTGTGTGAAAGCGTTACAAACAAACAAACTCACTTTCGCATATATAATATAAGTAAGGATTATTTTTATTGTCAGATGTCCCCTATATTGGAGATGGCATTCGGCCGTTCGTCGCGCGGCGTCTCTTGGGTAGTGTCGCGACTGGCGGGTCGCGCGGGAACTTGTCTCCGGCACATGGGCACCCAGCCCGTTGCCGCCACACAAGCCCTGCGTCTGCTGACGACGCTCGCGCACGCGCGTCACAAGTGAGTACAGTGGCTGCTGACGAGGCTCGCGCACGCGCGTCTCAAGTGAGTACAGTGGCTGCTGACGACGTTCGCGCACGCGCGTCACAAGTGAATACAGTGGCTGCTGACGACGCTCGCGCACGCGCGTCACAAGGGAGTACAGTGTCTGTTGACGACGCCTACCCATCCCCACAATCACCCACCAGTCCCCTATTATCACCCACTAATCCCCACTAATCGAGAGGAGCTCGATGGCGCAAGTGGTTAGCGCGTTCGGCTCCGATCGTTGAAGTTAAGCAACTTTCGTAGTGGTCGGTCATTGGATGGGTGACCAAAAATTTACTATCTCGAGCTCCTCCGTGCTTCGGAAGGCACGTTAAGTCGTTGGTCCCGGCTGCATCTGCAGTCGTTAGCAGCCACCAATCCGCACTGGGTCTGCGTGGTGGGTCATGGCCCAATATCCCTATTCCATCCATAGGGAAGGCCTGTGCTCCAGCAGTGGGGACAATAATAGGCTGATGATGAATCCCCACTATCACTCACCAATGCCCTTATCACCCTCGAATCCCCTTCACCCGCCAATCCCCCTTTATACCCTTCAATTCCCTTTTCACCCTCCTATCCCTTTTCACCCTCCAAACCCCTTTTTACCTACCAATGTAAACTGTGCTCATTTAGTTTAACAACTTTCTGATGTAGATACTCCTCCTCTCTCATTCTAACCCGCAGCGCCACTTAGATTAGTTTGAGTTATCACTTCTGTCGTGCGTCCCCAGACGCACACGCTTTTTTTGTATTAGGGCTCCCAGGAGATTCGACGGAAATTAAAAAAAAACTTACAGAATACGCACCACGCCATGTATTGTAAACAATTTACCGCACGCTCCGTTGGATGGCTCGTAAGTTTGAACTTCCGAATAATGTACACAACCTGCGTAAATGCATTTTTTTGAGCAAGTATGTTGAAAAGCTAACTTTAGGGTTCCAAATTCGAATTTCTACTACTCATAAGCAGTCAAAGCTTCGTCCTAGGCGTGGGAGAGGCATTAGGAGATCATGACGATGACATCTCGTGGTTTTTTGAAACATGATGCTAATTTTCAGCGTTGGTGTATTCTCACCAAACTACAGGTCCATTTACATGATGCAAGTTTCTTGCCTGTAGCATACAATTAAATTGAAGCAGTAAATGATTTGCATGCTCCAAACAGCACATAACATTCTTGATCTGTTATACAAGTTTTGTTTCAAAACTTTTCCTGGTGTAAACGTTTAATACTTAAATGAAAATTTCGCCAACGCAAATACTTGCAATTCTTGAAGCATCTCTCCAATAAATGGTACACGCACATTCAAGCCATAGTTTCCCACTCAGTTTCACATTCAGTTCAAGTTTTAGACATACCAAAACTTTAAAGCAATGATCTCCTTAACATAATTGTAAACTTTCGATGAACAATTCTATAGAAAACCGGGTGCATACAAAATCAAAGCTAAAAACTGACCGCGTATGTTTAAACTTATGCAGCTACATTCGATTCCCAATGAACAAAGATGAATGTTTTAAACCAGTTTAAGTTAAACCTAATAACAACTATCTCACAAAGGAATAAGGCTATAAATAACAAAATATTATATCGCACATACGACCTTTTATCTTATAAAACGAACTCTTGTTCCTTTTATAAATTATATCTGATATGTACTCGTATTTGGAAAAAAACTATAAATGTGAAAATGTGAAATCAACCTTATGACCCACAAAATAAAATATTTTTACCAGTCCTTGGCCAGCGACTTACTTAGTCTTGTATTAACAGAACTAATTTAAAATAAGATCTCACGCCTCAAGTGAGGCTATATTTACCGAGACGGATTTTACGCGCTGACCCGTTATCTATAAAATTGTTAATCGAAGGTGTAAACAAAAGACATTTGCAATTCTTTCTTGTCAAAACTGGCATTCAATTATTGTATGCAACGTATTTACTATGACCGCGTGTAAAAGGTTGCTTACAATTCTTGAAGGTCAATTATTGCACCTCACATTGTATTTAATTATTACCCTTGTATGTACAAGAAAATTGCATCGTGTAAATGAGTCTTAACACTAACATTTGTTGCAGACAAAACCCATTGGCTAGCTGTGAAGAATTTCTGAATCTAGTTGCTTGGGAAGCTTCAGGTAGCAACTTACCTGGCGAGCATAGAAGAGAGCTGCATAGAGCGTTTGCTATCGCCGCCACATATGCCGAAGGTATTTTACGTTCTTTTCTATTAGGTGTTTGAGAAGTTTTAGAAAACGATCTCACGTTATCTACACATATAATAAAATGGTGGGAAAGTCAAAACTGTACATTGATTTTTTTTAAAGAATACTTGAGATGTGATCTGCAGTCGATACCGAAGTATGTGTCTTTACACGACTGTCATTAAAACGTCAAACTATACAAAGTAATGTCACTGACCATCTGGTCAGTAAACATCTGTTTACTAGCATGTGACGTCATTTTATTCTTTGCCAATTCCATTCATTTTCGTTTACATGACCATAGAACAAAAAATAAATGCTATTTAATGTTTTTTTTAGAAGAGTTATTAATTATTTGTTCTCAGAATAGTTATACTCATTAATAATACTCATAATGATAAAGATACCAATAATTGGTACTTTATTTTTCATACTGTCAAATAGCCTATTATTGTGATGCGAGAGTGTCGCTAACATCAGAATGGCGAAAATGTTTATGGTCAAAACAGTTCAAAAAAAATCTTTTTCATTATCATAAACGTCCGCTGCTGGACAAAATACTTCTCTCTCTGATTAGATCAGCAAAGTCAAAGTTATATTTATTTCCCTAGGAGACATAAGGAATAGGCTGTTAGCTAGCACAGCTGCATTACAGGAGAAATTGACGAACATCATAAATATGGAATCCGATACTGAGCCGGTGCGCAATATGCTTGCCGACACTCTGGACTGCTTTATTGGGGTCACTGAGGGCGTCCTTGAGGTAATATAATCGCATTTTTTATGGCAATAGCATAGACTTAGTATTCAATGGCTGACAGAGTGTGGACAAGAGATATCATGTCCTTAAGACAATCGTACAAGGAAGAAAGAGAAGCATCATGATGGCAACCTTTGGCCAACCAGTAAAGTAAGAGCCAACATCGTCCTGTCAAGCCGTATGTGAAAGAATTTATTATGAAATTCTGTGAAACTAAGAAATCAATTGTGCTTTTAAAATTCAGTTTGTGTTATAGTATCCTGGGTTCTAAGCATATCTTGACCCAACGACAATATCACTCACAATTGAACACTGATACGCACACAATCACACTTGGAACACTTGCGATAGGTACTCTGTCTATATTTACATTATATCGATGGGCAATATTGATTATGACGAGGTAAACTAAATTCTATTTAGTCTGTCAGTTAGATTATCAAAATATAAATCAATCGACCAAAGAAAGATAAACATAAAGCGCGTCGAATTTTGAGAGTGGGGCTCGTGACGTCACTTCTAAGTAAAAGTTGTATCTGACATGCAACATTTCAGATTAAGATATCTCTGTAATGTTTTGAATATGTGAATAAAGGAAAAAAATACTCTTTGATAATCTACCTGATAGACGAAGAAAAAAAAGTTAGTCAATGAGTCTGAAAGTGGGATTCCGTGTTATAGAATCAAATTTTAGTTTTTACCATAATCATGTAATGTTGATTTTCAGGTGGGAACAATGGATGAACAGTATATGATGTTAATTGGTGCCTTAGATAAGATACCTGGTATTATATTTAGATATCACAATTACCCGGCTGTGGTTCTACCTAGTTTGAACCTTCTCGCCAAAAGCGCTAAACGAATGCTGCATTCGGTACCACAAAATTTCAATAAGTATGATCTTCAATATCAATAATAAATGTTTAAATAACGTTAGCAAAATTTTTAAAGATAATTTTGAATATAATTTTATAAGACTACTAGCTGTGCCCCGCGGTGTTATCCGCGGTTTATTAGAGATATTTTCTCGCAGTAAAACATATAAATATACCTATATGTTAATTCAGGGTGTCAGCTAACTTCATACCAAATTTTATTAAAACCGCTCCAGCCGTTCAGACGCGAAGAAGTAACAAACATACACACTCACAAACTTTCGCCTTTATAATATTAGTGTGATCTTAAAGCTTTTGGTAAAAGCAACTTTTAAGCATATCAGAATAATACTAGTTTGGATTTTCTGTCTGCGATTTCTAAGGGATAGAAAATAACTGTTTTTCTTTCTCTCACACTTCTCTTCGCCATTCTTGCTTATGATCCACATTTGAGTACTCCTTTTCTAACGACTTAACAATCTTATTACTATTAAATAAATTAGTAATCATATACAATTGGCGTTACCAGCAACGATATTAAACACTCTAGATACACCACGTGCGCTCAAAATGTATCGCAATCAAGAAGTGCTTGAACACCACCTAAGCACTTCTTGGTTCACAACTTCACAGTCACACGCGGACCGTTGAAAAGTCAAGTTACTGCAGAGTTTCGTGAAAAAAAATGCGAAAAAAATACTTATGGTATGTTAAGTGTCGTTTTTTCGCCAGGTATCTGATCAATGTTTGTTAATTAAACGCATTTGAAGCAAATTTTGTTCGAATATTTAATGTAAACTGATTTAATAGAAAATATTTGTGATATTCATATGCACGGTCGGTAATATAGCCGTCTCTTTTCCTCACGGTCAGTACCTACTATATTGCTAACAGTGCATTGAAAATAGCGCGTAGAGTCAAAGAAATAAAGTCTATATACTTCCACATTATTCTCAATGTTTAAATAATGCCTTATATTGTTTTTGACTACGCGATCATCTTACGGAGCTCCGTGGATCGTTCAATGAACGTTTTGGACAGGTTTAGGGCACCATTTTGTTCGTGTTGGTGTATCTACTGTATTTAATGTCGTTGGTTACCGGGCCTAAACTATAATATTACTGTTTTAGATTTTTAGAGGTGTGTAATACAACATTCGAAGTTTACCTTAAATGGAATTCCGGAAAGATATCAAGTATTCCGCAAGACGCAGAGGAGGAAGCGTATGAGGTAAGTAAATGATACTTTTAAGACGACCTGGAAGCTGGTTACTGGTTACTGGTTATCGGGTTTACTTTGGCGATTTCATTTTGTTATTACTTACCGCCGCAGGTTTTAAAATGCCCACGCTCTTTTTCGTTGGTATTAAAATGAATTCGAACCCGGGACCTCTCGGGAGTAGGCCGCAACTTGAAACCCGGTGTACAAACTACTCGCCCACAGAGGATACCGAGTCGTATTATAACATCTTTGGGTATATTGAAACTTTTTCATTTTTGTAACATCAGCTTTATGCTTAAGGGCGCTTTCAATTTATGCGTTTCTTGACGGCCTGCTGCGGTGCCGAAGCGGTGCGTTTGTCGTAAAGCGTACGGACGATCCTTTTTTTTCAGCACCGCATTGAAAGCGCCCTAACAGTATTAAATAAAATGAGCGCGCTATATTATAAATAAATAAGTAATCCTCGCAGGTAGTGGATCCGGAAATAAAACATTGTCTCAGTATAAAATAATCCTTATATTGCCCAAATACAATTCTGTGGCCGTCGCGTCTCAGCAAGGGGGGAAATAAATTACCCCCCTTTATTCCCCCTTGTTAAGACGCGATTAAAGACGCGACCTGCTATGCCCTACCTCTCTTGGGTTTTATCAACGTAACAATCACACTAATATAATAAAGGCGAAAGTTTGTGAGTGTGTATGTTTGTTACTTCTTCACGTCTCAACTTTATGGAATTAATGTATTGATTTTGCCTTTGATTTTGTATCATTGTAAAATATTTAGTTTAAATTTTATAACTTATTGATATTACGACCTATATACACGTAAAACGTTACAATATTAGAAAATGTTTCAGCGGTTAGAAATAACAAAATGAAATCATAAGCTATATAATCATAGCAATCCCGATAGGCAGTAGGCCCCCTGAAATTTTACGATTCTATCGACAAAGCACTGATAATATTTTGTTAATATTCTAATTTTGATATTGGGCTCCATCTTGGTAGTCAAATCTTAATTTTGATTCGAACCAAAAAAGTGCAAATTGAAGAACTGAATTAATATTGCATATTATGAAGGATTTTGTGGAAATCTTGTCTTGAGTAAAGTCATTGTTTTAGGACATTTGCGCCCTTATGGAAGTGATATGCTGTATAGCTCGAAGTGGCGCCGAGAGAGGGGTGGGCGATACTTGTGCAAGGGGACTTCGTATTCTATTGCCTCTTATAACCCCGCCCCTACTAGCGTTACCTACTCTAGCGCATCACGCGTATAGGATGCTACGGGATCTGGACTCTGCCGATCAGGTGAGAAGCGTTCGAGAACCCAAATTGTTAACCGAATAAGAAAGTAAATAAATATGTTTGCGTTTTCTATTACCTCTTATAACTCCGTCCCTGCTAGCGTTACCTACTCTAGCGCATTAGGCGTATAGGTTGCTACGGGATCTGGACTCTGCCCATCAGGTGAGAAGCGTTCGAGAACCCAAATATCTACTGATTTAGAAAGTAAATAAATAGGTTTGCCGATGGACGACACTTTGCGTCTTCTATTGTCTCTTATAACCCCGCCCTACAAACGTTACCTTCTCTAGCGAATCATGCGTTAGGATGTTACGGGATCTGGACTCTGCCGATCAGGTGAGAAGCGTGCGAGAATTCCTACTGATTAAGAAAGAAAATAAATATGTTTGCATCTACTGCCTCTTATAACCCCGTCCGTACTAGCGTTTCCTACTCTAGCGCATCATGCGTATAGGATGCTACGGGATTTGGACTCTGCCGATCAGGTGAGAAGCGTTCGATAACCCAAATTTCTACTGATTTAGATAGTAAATAAATAGGTTTGGCTATGGACGACACTTGGCATCTTCTATTGTCTCTTATAACCCCGCCCTACAAGCTTTACCTTCTCTAGCGAATCATGCGTTTAGGATGTTACGGGATCTGGACTCTGCCGATCAGGTGAGAAGCGTTCGAGAACTCCTACTGATTAAGAAAATAAATAAATATGATTGCGTCTACTTCCTCTTATAACCCCGCCCGTACTAGCGATACCGACTCTAGCGCATCACGCGTATAGGATGCTACGGGATCTGGACTTTGCCGATCAGGTGGGGAACGTTCGAGGACCCACATTTTCACTGATTTCGATAGTCAATAAATAGGTTTGACGATGGACGATACTTTGTGTCTTGTATAGCCTCTTATAACCCCGCCCCTACTAGCGCTACCTACTCTAGCGCATCATGCGTATAGGATGCTACGAGACCTGGATTCTGCCAATCAGGGGAGAAGCGTTCGAGGACCCAAAATTCTAATAATTAAGATAGTAAATAAATAGATGAAATTCGGTACGCATCATATAGTTTATGACCAGGATTGAGACACAGGATACTTTTTATCTCGGACAAAACGTTAGCTTCCTGTGGGATTTCCAAAAAACTAAAACTAACGAGGTGGAAGTTGCGGGTTGCCACTAGTTTTAGTAGGATCATGCTCGTAAATATGCGTCCATAGTTTATGAAACTTCCATTTTTCAATACTGCACTAGTAAATAATGCAATAATGTGTTTGAATATAGTGTCAAGAAGTATTTTGACCTTAATTTTAACCAAAACATTCCTATTTCAGCTGACCTCCCTGCCAATAGAAGACTTCAATATGGTGGTGACCGCACTAAGGGTAGGCCTCACAGCCGTATCTTACGACGTTTCTACAGTATGCTGCGACACTATCGTCGGACTTTCGAATAAGGCGCGTACGCTAGGTGAAGATAACCCTTATGCTTTATCACTATTGACACTAGCGGAACTTTTATTGATGCTCATAATCAAAATGGAAATTCCACCCGATTCCATACCAGCAGCTGGCGCTGCAATATACGCCTTAACGTGCGTGAAACCAGCTTTATTGGAAGGTTTAGCGAGACAGTTGATTGAAGCATTCGCGGTCAATGACCCTGCGAACGTCCCTAGACTCGAAGAGGCATTCGGCGTTTTAACCAACGGCGTTCTATTTGACGGCATGAGACAGCACAAAATACGCTTCCAAGACAATTTCGACAAGTTCCTTGCGAACGTTCACGGCTTCCTTATTGTAAAATAATCATCTATTATAAAAACGACTGAGAGAATATTTGGCAGTGGCATCCGATGCATGTGAAGTGTATGGGAGTTCACTTGGAATTTCTGGGGAGGTACGAGGCGAGAATGTTAGCTAGCTAGATATTTTATGAAAAAAAATTCAATGAGGCAATGAGAGATTCATTGCCATCACGCTAGCTGGCTTAGCCATTGTGGCGATCTGAGTAGTGTAAAATGTATTAAAAGTAATTTTTGCGACTTCTTTATTGACGCTAATGGAATAAGGATCTTTTGACAAAATTCGTAAACTTAAGAGTTATAAATAAAAAATAATTGACATGAACCAAATGTTTTGAGAAGACTTATTTGAATTTATTTGTTTAAGCGTGAGAATATTGAATGAAATGTTCGATGATTGATCAATCCTAAGTCGTAAATACTTACAATGTCCGTAGAGAAAGCATATAGGGATGATGATAAACTTTTTTATCTTCTTGATGACATTTTTTTTACAAAAGAGCTGACTTAATAAAATTAGCCTTTTTTTACAACTTAATTGTCGTTGAAGAAAGTTATGGGGTGTATTTCGAAATATACAGAGAGTAAGCTGGCCAGGGGTAATGACGTCATGAATTGACGCCATGCTGTTGATTCGTTACATGCTGTGACGTCATGAACTGGCGCTATATTCAAGCAGTCTCGTGTGTGTGCGTACAACGTTCATGAATAAGTAAGAAAACTAATTTTTCTATTTGTTGAGATTCCATTATTATCAATTTAATACAAAATAGAACTTCACTAACTGCAGAGCGTATACACCGGCTACGTCACAGTATTCCCACCAGCATAATAAGGCGGCACACCAGTGCAATATGGCGTCGAAATCATGACGTCATTACCGCTGGCCAGCGTACTGGTGTATATTTCGGAATACTACTATACTGTCATTTGTATGACATATCAGTGACATATTATAACTTGGTGCAATAGGGCCCAGGTAGATTATCAAAAATGATTAGACACGTATTTTTTCTTTATTCACATAATCAAAACATTACGGAGAAACATAGATTTGAAATGTCACATGACGTCATGTCTTAATATTTACTTAGAAGTGACGCCGGCACGAGTCCCTACTCCCCAACTTTGACGCGCATTATTTTTGCTATTTTTTGGTTGATTGACAAAAGAAAAAGTAAGTGTCCATTATTTTTACTAATAGAATTTCGTTAAGTTTACCCCATCATCATCCTTATTATAAAATTTAAGTGCCATGAGATCAGTACGTATACCCAGCACAATATTGATCAATCAATGTATGTAAAAGTGTTTTATGGCCTAAGTAACAGGGTGCTTTTGACTTCTACGTATTTTAGTTTAGAAAGACTATTTATTTCTGTTGTAGTTATTGTTTTATTCTTTATTAATAAATACTACTATGCAATCACTCAAGTAGTACTGTCTAATATCTTCTTTAATTGTTGTTCACATCGAAATATCTGTGTAAAGAGAAACTATGAAACTGGTTGTGATTGCGTAATATGCAGAAATTGAAGATATACTGTGGTATTACACATATTATGTAATTAATTATGAAATAGGTGATTTAGATGGCTAAGTATACACAGTACTTACGGATAGTTAGAGGATTTGTGATTTCTATTACACGAGTATCCGTAAACTTATTGAGTTTACATATTTTAAGAGAAGTGTTATGCACTTACAATATTTATTGCAGGTTTTTACTCCGTCTCTATTATAGTAAAGTTTAAATTGTAGTTATTAAAATTTACTATTTAGGCGCGCTTACCTTTTTCGATTCACGAGTCAAAGTAAGAATATAATTATAAGACTTTTTTGTTTTAATTTAAATTGCATATAACAATTTGCAATGTATTATGTACTTCAAGACTCCTTTTTTTTAGAACTAAGACTTGTAAACATTTTAATAGCTAAAACTACTATGTACGCTATAAATGTATTATAACAAGTTTAATTTCTTTGTTGTTTTTAAATACTACAGCTATGTTCATCTCTTTATTCTCTAAATTGTCTCATTCTAAAATCTTAGATGTATCTGGTAACATACTTTTGTTTGTAATGGAGGAAATGCATATTTTATTAAAAAAATGCAAAATATAAGTATTTTGAAATATCTAGATAAAGATCGAATAGACTAATGAAACATCTTTAAGAGTTTTTATCCACACTAATAACACAAATGCGACGTGAAGTCTGTTTCTCCATGTTAATGTTGGTAAAGAGATAGGGAAGCCCAAGCAGGAAGTTTTGTATTTACTCGAGTGCGGCGGCAGTATAGCGTAAGGGGGAGGGAGGGGGGGGCAACCTTGCACCTAGTGAAGTAATCCCACCATACCTGTACCCTTAATACGAGTTTGAGCTAGCGAAAACTATCATAGTTTTCGTAATTGTAAAACTCGTACTAAGGGTACTGAGCCCTCTATGTAGACCACTTCTAAATCCGGCCCTGTGTGCAGCAAATATAATTATCAAATACGAATAGCCATGTTTATCCCAACTAACACACAAGTGAAAAATACAGCTTTCCTTAAAGCTCCAAGGTTTAAAGTGGTGGCATAATGGAGTCAGGATTAGGCACGTGTTCGATAATACACACTTATAAATCCGGCCCTGTGTCGCGGAAATATAATTATTAAATACGAATAGCCATGTTTATCCCAACTTACACACTACTGAAAAATTCAGCTTTCCAGCTCCAAGGTCTAGGATAATTTTACGGAAGTTAACGAGTCCGTTAACATTTTTTAAAATTAACTTAAAAGTTAATCCGTTAATAGAAATGTTAACTTCGATAATTAACGGATTAACGAGTTAATGCCCAGCTATGCTTACAGACCCAGTATCAATAAGATTTTATATTTTTAGCCTCCACTACTAGTACTACCACATAAGCGGCGCGATCTAAGTTCATTGGGGGTATGACGGAAGCGGTATGTTAGGCCTGTTGTGTTCTTGAGCACTAGCGCATTCCTAGAATGACAGACATGTTCTGGTTTAAGATATTGCTGTTGACAGCTGTTGGTGATAAAAATGACTTATTATTACTTACTTTTATGAAGGTTTTAAGAAATGGTGGAGTTATTTAATAATGTAATATTATTTTATACGAGGAGCTCGATGGCGCAAGTGGTTAGCGCATTCCGCAGCGATCGTTGAATTTAAGCAACTTTCGCAGTGGTCGGTCATTGGATGGGTGACCGAAAATTTACTATCTCGAGCTCCTCCGTGCTTCGGAAGGCACGTTAAGCCGTTGGTCCCGGCTGCATCTGCAGTCGTTAGCACCCACCAACCCGCACTGGGCCCGCGTGGTGGGTCATGGCCCAATCTCCCTATTCCATCCATAGGGAAGCCTGTGCCCCAGCAGTGGGGACATTAATAGGCTGATGATGATGATGATTTTATACGATACCTACGCGGCTTGTTTAAGTGAAAAATTCAAGATGCTAGTTGTCTATACAGAGAAAACAAAAAAAATATTTTAAACAACCACAACCAGTATTCTACAAGTTTTGTACAAAACTGGTTTATGACTGGTTTCATGGTGTAAACGATGGGTTGGAAGTAAATTTATTCATAATTTCCTAGCCTATGCAGAACAACGTGGAAGAGTGGTTTCATACGGGAACGTAATGCAGCTAAACGTGTCAATAAATATGCAATCATAAAAAAATGCCATGCGAATCCTTATGCGTCTCAAAGTGGCAAAGCAGATAAAATAAAACTTCAGTGCAGGTATTGGTGCCATATGGGTGAAACAAAAAACCTTAGGAGTCTGTTGCGGCCATAAGCTGCAATTATAGCTGTTATCGAACTCGGGCCTAATTCTGACTCCATTATGCCACCACTATAGACCTTGGAGCTTTAAGGAAAGCTGTAGTTTTCACTAGTGTGTTAGTTGGGATAAACATGGCTATTCGTATTTGATAATTATATTTCCGCCACACTGGGACGGATTTAGAAGTATGGGCCTGGCCAATGAAGGAGTGGAGGCCACTAAATCTAGGCCAGACCACTTAAGATTTACCCTGTCTTGAATCCGATCACGCCGCCACATAATGGCAAGCCTTTGTCCTACATCTTCCCCACATAACTTGGTTTTAATAATGCCGTTATTTTACCAAGTTGTAAACAATTAAAACACAAACAACCAAACAAATTACCAAATTGCGACTTAGCAAAGCAAAGATGATATATAGTGTCGATTCGATTTGCCGTTTAAGTTAACTACCTTTAACGACTGCTAACTTGCTTGACTTGACTGATCGAGCGACTGAGCGAGATGGAATGAACCGAAGAATACTGTTTTAAGTGGGTTTTTCTACTTAGGGGTCCGAATCGGGTTCACTGAATGAACATAGTTCAGTTTTCACCCGCAGGTCCGGTTGATATGGCTAGAAACTTATGGCAGCAGTCGAGTGTATTAAATATAATATTGCTATACCCTCGAGCGCTGCAGTTGAACGTCTTTTTTCATCGCAAAGATATTTTTACGCCGAAACGAGCGTCACTCTCACACGAGAACTTCAACATACTAATTTTCATGAAGGGGAACATCCACATTGTGCATTGATTAAATTGAACACTTTTTTTATATATTTATACACTGTCTTTTTCTGACCCTATCCTATTAACTTTCAGAACCCAAAATAACAGTTTTTGTAAGCAGATCACTAACGCAACGATATAAAAAAAATGCAAGTTTTATCACGGATTAACAATTAACGTTAACTTGCGTTAAATCTTCCGAAATGTAACGTTTTAACGTTTAACGAAGTTAATTTTTTTAGTAACGGATTAACGAAGTTAACTATTTGATTTACGGTGCCCAGCTATGTCTGTAAGTAGGACGGTAGCCGTTATGAACATTTTAGTCATACTTCATTTCTCGAAGGTTAGTCCTGGCGACATATCGAAATGTAAGCGTGATACGTGTATTATGAGTAGAGATGGGTAGTGGGTTATAACCCATTTGACCCGATCGGGTTATAACTGGGTTGTTTGGGTTATAACCCAGTTATAACCCATTATCACACATTTTAGTGGGTGAAAATAAAAAAAGCATTTTATTTTGATATTGAGAATTTGTATTTGAAGTTGGGATGTAAAATGAAAATCTGAATGCAAAAAAGAACATTTATTTTTAAAAATCATAATTTATTCATCATCACTGTCAGTAGATAGTCTATCGCAATCTAGAAATTCAACGTTACTAATTCCGGACGTAGATGGCTGAGGGCTAGCAGCGCGCGGTGTACTAAACGTTGATGACGGTAACTCAGTCATGCAATCTTCAGCATTATCACTGGAATCTTCCACATGTTTGTGCAACAAGTTCCAATTGTATGTCAAAAATGTTAATTTTTCTGCTCTTTCTGTTTTGAGTCTATTTCGCTTTTTATTGTGTATATTGCTGTGAGCACTAAATGAACGCTCTACAGCCGCGGAAGTGCAAGGTGCTGTAAGAATTCTAACGGCAACTTTACTTAATGCCGTAGATCCGCACATTCCTTTCCACCAAGTTATTGCAGATATGTTGTTTATGCCATCCCAGAGAAATGCTCGACTCCAAAAACCATCTCTTGCTCGGCAAGAGGCCAGGTTTTCTTTTACATTTAAGCCGATGGATTGTCCCACTTCACAAATGAATTCCATGGCATCGAGTTCTTGATTTTCATCAAGTTCAGATCCCTGATGTAGAGGGTCTAATAAGTAAGCCGCAAAATG